GCGGAGGAGTGAGGATGAAGGTGGAGAAGCATGAGGAGGTGTAGTAGTAGTAGTGGTAGTAGTAGTAGTAATCGTAGTAGTAGTAGTAGTAGTAGTAGTAGTAGTAGTAGTAGTAGTAGCAGCAGCAGTAGCAGTAGTAGTAGTAGTAGTAGTAGTAGTAGTAGTGGTGGTGGTGGTGGTGGTGGTGGTGGTGGTGGTGGTGGTGGTGGTAGTAGTAGTAGTAGTAGTAGTAGTGAGAGTAGTAATAGTACTAGGAGGAGGAGGAGGAGGAGGAGGAGGAGGAGATGGAGGAGGAGGACGAGGAGGAGCAGGAGCAGGAGTGGGAGCAGGAGCAGGAGCAGGAGCAGGAGGAGGAGGAGGAGGATGATGATGATGATGATGATGATCAGGAGGAGGAGGAGGAGGACCAATTTCAACCCCAGACACATCAGAGAGGTTGAAAAGAACTAGCCCTCCAAGCTTCCTCTGCACAGGCCCCTGCTATGTTGAATTTCCACTGAAGGACGGTCCTCGTCGGGAGTTCCCGAAACGTGTCAAAACACCACTCTCGAGAGCCAACATGACTGCTGCGCCTTGGCGACCTTGAGTCGTACCAAAATAGCATCCTTGTGTTCACAACACCGCGAATCAACATAAGTGTTGCGGCCTGGAACTCCTGAACCATTCCAAACTACCATTCCAAAATACCGTGAAGCCCGCGCAGCTGTTTGAGATGAGTGTGCGCAGCGCTAAAGCGATAGCCATATTTTGACATGGAGCCGCATTCAATCAGTGAAACTCCTGCTTCGGTGTGCGATCGGCTGGGTCCATCTATATGGAAAAGGGAATGGAGGAGGAGGGGGAGGAAGAGGAAGAGGAGGAGGAGGAGGACCAGTGCAACAAGACTCATCAATGATGTTCGAATTCAACGCCAAGGTTTATTTCCACTGAGGGAGGTGCCCCGTTGGGAGACATTTGTGTGAAAATCTTGAATCGTGTCAAAACAGCATTTTCAGGATGCCAACGCCTCGGGTCGACCTTACTGTTGCGTCTTGACGATCTTGAATCGTGCCAGAGCGCCGTTCCTGGGACTTCAACACCGTAAGTCAGCATAACCTTTGCGCCCTGACAAACCTGAGTCGTTCCAAAACACCGTTGCTTGTAGTCTTGTATGTTAGCCATGAGAACCCGTGAAACTCTGGTAGTTCTTCGAAACGAATGTGCGCGGCGCCAAGGCGAGAGCCACGTTCTGGAAAATCACCGTCCTCATTTTCGGAATTGATGAAGCCGAGTATGCGCGGCGCTAAGGCGAGGGTAATAGTTTGAAAATGGCACGCCCCCAATGCGCTAAATTCTTGCAGATAGTCAAGACGAGTGTTCGCGGCGCTAAGGCGAGAACCGCATTTTGAAATCCGCTCGCCCACAAACCGTGACGCTCTTGCAGTTTTTGTCAGACGAAGGTACGTGGTGCTGAAGCGAGATCCACTTTTTGAAAACCGCCCGCCTTCGATCCGTCAAGTTTTGTCAACTTTGTGAAACGAATGTGCGCGGATCTAAGGCGAGAACCACATTTTGAAAACGGCCCGCCCTCAGTCCGGTAAGCTTCTGCAAGTTTGTAAGACGAATGCGTGCGGCGCTGAAGGCGAGAGCCACAATTTTGGATGCGAGGGATCCCCAAGGGTGCGTTGGCGAGCTCGCGGGATTTGGGAGATTTGGGGAAGGGGAAAGGGGAGGGAGACAGTCAAATGTATCATACGCATTTCTGCAGCCGGCACACGGGGGTCGGCGGATTACAGGCCCAGACCTTGTTACAGACGTTACATTCTTTCCTACCGGTAGGACCAGTCTACGGGTGATAAGGAGGCTGGGGGGTGGAAGGGGGAGACGGTCGGTATGCGGTGACTCCCACCTGCCGCCACCAAAGAGTGCGCGGGCACATACATACCACCTAGTTCCGCTTGCTTCTATCTAACTGATAAATCTATTTCCATGGTCTATATATCTATCCATCAATATATCCGTCCATCTGTCTATCGAGTCGACACATCAATCAGTCTATCAATATATATATATATATGTATACATATATATATGCATCATTCTTTCAACCAATCAATCGCGATCCATTAATCAGTCTATCTATCTATCTACCTGCCTATCGGGACAACCGACGAGACAACCATCGGGACAACCATCGCGACAACCATCGGGCCAACCATCGGGACAACCATCGGGACAACCATCGGGACAATCATCGGGACAACCTTCGGGACAACCATCTGGACAACCATCTGGACAACCATGGGGACAACCATGGGGACAACCATCGGGACAACCATCGGGACAACCATCGGGACAACCATCGGGACACCATCGGGACAACTATCGGGACAACCGCGGGACAATCATCGGGACAACCACGGGAGAACCATCGGGACGACCGCGGGACAACCACGGGACAGCCGAGGGACATCCACGGGACACGCGCCCGCCCGGGGGGGGCGGCCATTTAGGCCCTATGTGGCTTCTACCAGTGCAGGAACTCGCGCAGCTTCGTCTCGCCCGCACGCACGACACGAACCGAAACCGAAACCGATTTCCCGGTTGGGGTCATTTCCGTTCACACCCCCCAACCTCCGACTGCAACTCATGCTGCTCGTCCTATAGCAGGTCATGCTAGGGAGGAAGATCTGTAGTAAGGCTTGTGCCAGGAATTACGGTAGGATCGCGTCATGATCTAGCATGGCCACATCTTCCATGATGCATTTTATTATAAGTCCTAGGGCGGCTCCTGCTACAAAACGTTCCACGGCTGCTACGATATATACATATATATATATATATATGTGTATACATATATAGATATGTATATATATATATATATATATATATATATATATATATCTGGATACGCGTATACCCCAGATCTTACTACGGGGCTTGCTGCCAGCTTCTACCGCGTTGCCTATCCCAGATGCGATCGTGGATCACGTTACAGATTTGACAGCTGCTTGGAATGCTGACCCTACAACAGATCATGCTTCGCAGCGACCCTTCGCAGAGCAACTCTTCGGACCTCCCTACGGTGGCCGACTCACTCCTGAACCAACGCGAGCTTTCCGTGGATGCGAGATCCGACTGTGACCGTATTATTTCTGCATTAAGCCGTGTGGGAATCCTGCTGCTGCGCTGAGATCGCCTTACTGGACATATTGTGCTTCCTACCAGAGATGCTACCACACATCCGATCGAAGGGATACATCATTTCTCTCTACGGCTCCTCTGGTCAACCATACCAATAGTACAGAAATCCTATTACATACCTTACCACAGATCCTACCACGGCTCGCGCTACAAACCCTACTGGGGCGGGGACGACGATATATAGCAACGTGTGAGCAACGAGGGGCACGTATAATGAGAACAAGGAATGCCAGGTCCACTCGGAGCCCTGTAGAGCCGGATCAAGCTTGATTAGTAGAGTCCCCATAGAATTGGATCCAGCTGCAATGGGATCACCATGGGGCTGAGTCCAGCTACAGTTTGTCCCTGTAAAGCTGGACCCGTCTTTAGCAGAAGCTTTAGAGAGCGTGATCTCGTTTCCTTCCTCCTCCCCTCTCCCCTTTCCCCTCTCCCCTCCCCGCCTCCTCCACCTCATCCTCCTTCTCCCTTCTCCTTCCCCTCTCTGCCTCCTGGTTCCTGTCTCTCCTCCGTCCATCTTGCGCCTCCCGCATCCGTAGTTTTTTGGCCCTAGCCGTCTCCGCTGAGGAAGCCATTTGGTTTAAGCTTATTTTGTTTTATCACTGTTCTCTCCAGGCAGATATGGAGGTTTTTGCACACGATGGCTCTGAATGCGCCTCTTCTTCAGATTCCTCAGGGTCTTTGGTTGAAGCAACCGAACTGCGCGCTGGCATGCGCGCCTACTGTCTCTTGGTTGTTCGGGGCGTGGTTCGCGCAACAGAGGTTTGTGTGGTGGAGCTGGGGAATTTTCAAACTGTGATCGCTGCCCCTGTCGACTGTGCTATTGCCGAATCTGGAAATTGGATCGATCCCCTATCTTGGGCGCCGCGTAAATGGAGGGGCGATGGATGGGGGGGGTGCAGCGAGGGCTGCAGGAAAGGGGCCCGTTAGGGGCCCTAAATGGGCCCTTTTGGGCCCCAGAGGGGAGCCTCCAGGGCCCGAACAGTGCACCTTTCTCCCCCCCCCATTGAGCGGCGCCCAAGTGTCGGATGCTGTGCCCACGAGCTTCCAATGTTCGTGTCTTGAGCGCGGTGCGCACTGCGACGTGATCTATTACAGCGTGGCCGCCGACGCGGTCTCGGCCACGGCCTCGGGCAGCCCGTGCTCCGGGTTTCTTTCACGCGGAGGCGAGCGATGCCAGCCTACGGCACGAAGCGTCATTACAACCTATTACGGCAGGGCAAACGAGAAGTCTCCCCGCATGCAGACTGCCCGCGGCGACGGTGCGCAGGCGCAGTCGTACTACGAGGTGCAGACGGCAGCGCCTTCCAGGCCGTTCTTTGAGAACAGCGTGCTGCTCATACCCGATCTGGTGAGCAGGGCGGAGTGCCACTCTCTGATCGAGGTCGCTGACCGCCACGCTTCCGTAACTTCCGTGGACTCGAGTTCAAGCTTCGCGGGCACATGTCTGCATCGGCTTCCCGTTTGTGAGCTTGGGCTCGAAGCAGAAGCACTGTCTTTCAACATCTTGCGCGACAGAGTCTTGCACTTCTTCGAGCTCAATCTTCCAGAGGCGGCGGAGTCCCTCTTCGGCCAGCGCTCGAACCTCGGGAGGCTGGCGTTCTCGCACTCTCGAGCAGAGCCTGCTGTCAACAGGTACACTGCAGGTGGCGAGTTCAGCATCCACCACGACGCCCACTCCGTCACGGTCAACGTGCTGCTCTCAGAACCGGATGCTTTCCTGGGGGGCGGCACTGCGTTTTGGCCACAGGGGCGCGGCAGCAGTGCCGATGGCGCCGAGGTCGTGCTGCAGCCCCCTCGAGGCGTCGGGGTGGTCTTTAACGGCCACGTGGAGCACGCTGGTCGACCCGTGCTGTCGGGCGTGAGACACGTCTTTGTCTCAAGCTTCAATCTAGTTCGTGAATGATTCCGTCGCCACAGCGTCTGTTTCGAGAGCAAATCATGGGAGCCTGGTGTACCCTCTCAATTCCGTCTTGAGCTTCGATTCGCGTCCTGGAGTCGACGAGATAGCGCCGGTTTAGCGTCGATCAGCGTCGGTTAGCTTCGAATTAGCGTCGATTAGCGTCGATTCAGCGCCGACCAGCGTCGATTCGTAAGAGCCGACAAGATGGTACGGGAGGCTCCCATGAGTTGCCACCGAAGTGTCTGTCTCGGCAGAGATTGGGTGCGAGCTTGTTATGCAGCGAGCACGGCAAGGTTCAGCAGCTCTGCCGGAGCTCACGGGCCTCCACGAGGCTTGTTCTCCCCGTCGTCGTCGAGCTCCTCCCTCTCCTGCCCCTTCTCCTTCCTCTTCCCTCCTTCCTTCTCGTCCTTCGCTGACCAGCCCACGCTCTCCTGGGGACAGCAGCTGAGAGGCAAATGTTCTTATCTCCCGCGCGGCGGGCAGCGCCAATCATCTCTCCACGCAGCCCCTTGAGCATCACAAGCAGAA